CTGTTGACGGTGTTGAACATGGTGATGGTGAAGTAATGGTTTAACTGACGGCAGGATGTTAATGATTACGATGGTGGTACGTTTCAGGTGATGGTACTGGATATGATGACGGTGAGGTCACGGTTAAACTGACGGCAGTCATGTTAATGATTACGATGGTGGGACGTTTCTGTTGACGGTGCTGAATATGTTGAAACTTGAAATAAAGTTGTAGTAGCCAATGCCAGTATATATTTGTTAGCGGTGCTGAACATCACGATGGTGAAGTAAAGTTTAAATTGCCGAAAGCTATGTAATTGATTATGATGGTGGTACATTTCTGTTCATGAGAATGATCATGAAGAAGTAAGGTTTAAAATGTCAAGATGACGATGAAGATACATTTTTGTTGATGGTGCTGAACATGATTATGTTGAAGTATATATTTTTTGACAATTGTGACGGTGCTGAACATTACGATGGTGAGTTTTATTATTATGATGATGGTACGTTTCCGTTGACGGTGTTTAACATGATGAGGGTGAGGTAACATCTTAATGTGAATGATTATTATGGCAGTATACATTTGTTTACCGTACTGAATATCACGATGGTGAAGTAAAGTTAAGATTGCTGAAATATATGGATTTTGATTCTGATTGTGGTATGTTTCTGTTGACGGTGCTGAACATGATGATGATGACGTAAATTTTTGATAAGCGACGGTGATGTTAATGATTCTGATGGTGGTACGTTTATGTTGATGGTGCTAAATATGATTATGATTGTGGTGGAACGTTTTTGGTAGTGCTGAACATGATTATGGTGATGTAAAGTATAATTAACAGTAATTACCAGAAGTAAACGTTTTAGTTGCCAAAAATTGTGTTTTTAATAAAAATTGAGATATATTGTATTGACAGTACTGAACACAATTAAGGTGAAGTAAAATTCTAATTGCCAATAGTGATGTTTATGAATATAATGGTTGTATATATTTGTTAACAGAGCTGAACACAATACTGATGTTCACGATAATGAAGGTTGTGCAGGTGTTAATTTGGTCCTGATGATTGTTATAACGATGTTTTGTTCACAATGCCTGTGATGATGATGATGATGATGATGATGATGATGATGATGATGATGATGATGATGATGATGATGATGATGATGATGATGATGAGGAGGAGGAGGAGGAGGAGGAGGAGGAGGAGGAGGAGGAGGAGTAAGAGGAGGAGGATGAGGAGGAGGAGGAGGTAAAAGAGGAGCAGGAAGGAAATGAGAAGGAGTAGGATATGTAATGATGTTAATGAAAATGATGAACATTTGAAGTACAATGGAGATGAAAAGATGGTGACAATTTTGGTTATTTGGTTTATTTTTATAACGTTTTGGATGGTTTTAATTATTATAAATGTGAATGTGTCATGTGAAAGACAGTTATATTGAATATTGTTTATGATATGTTTATTGTGATTGTGACAATATTTGTAATGATATAATGTGTAATGGTGTTAAAATATTCCTAATAATGACCAATGAAATAATGTGTGTATTGCTGATTATCAATTCTTTGTGATGGTTAATTCATCTGTGATGCTAATCAATAGTGGTCAATAATAATAATGATTTTGATGGCATAGAGGAATTGGACGATTTTATTTGTAATGGTAATGATGATACTTATAGGATTATGGTCATACTAATAGTGATAATAAAGGTGCTATTGATAGAGGATAGAGAACCCGATATAATGTTGATGATAATAATGTGACATAACTTTTGTAGACAAAATGGTTGATTTTGATGTTGATGACGATTTGTACAAGAAATAAACTTTCATAAAATCATTTGGAATCAATCAAGATCAATATATTTGAATATTGTGTTATTTGTACAAATGCCATGTTTTTAATATAAATGTCTGTTCAATGCAATTCTGTAACTTTGTAAGAGTTGTTTTAAAACCGTTTTATGACTTTCTCCTATTATAGTTTCAAAATAATTATGACGACGATGAAGATGGTGGAATCTGTTACGAAGCATTTAAGCATTATTATGGAAGAATATGGTACGAAAATTATGACATAATCTTGTTTCTTCTTGGGTTTTTTTACGAATAAAACAAGGACCAGTCCATAAAGAGCAAAAGTCGACAACTAACTGATAATATCATGCAAACAAACAATCAACACACAGTCTATAAAAATATAACAACATGGAAATCAAAAGACCGAACAAGACGTATCACACAAAACAAAACCCATTCAGTTGTCAGGTTTCAATTATATTAACATAGTAGGGAAACTCATGAATAAGTTTACATTTTTTTGCCATTGCAGGATCAAAATGAGAACATTTATCAGCTCTCCTTTATGTATAGAGGGACCGATTTTGTGGTATTCCAAAATTAATAGACCTTTGCAATGTTTAGAACGGGTTTGTGAAATTCACATGTTATTTGAGAATCAGTAACATCAATTCGTTAATTTTACTGATGCCATCACGAGTTGGTAGAACGTAATAGAATAATTTTCCGTTTCAAAGATGATAGCGGATATGTTCCAAATGTCATAACTACAATCCCGTCCACTTTTAAGGAATGAGACCTACCAGACAATAAACTGTTTTATAACTCTTCAAATGTTTCGGATCCGACATATCCTTGGCTGTCAAATATTAGCTTTCCTGATAAGGGTTAAATTCAGAAAATTGATTCAGATGCATGGTTATATATTATTTCATTGAATTTATGAAACTTCTAATTAAAAGTGGTATATCGTCAGATATAGTAAGTATCTATATTTACAGTAGTGCAACCGAAATTCATCGATATGGCAAAATTTGCTCATTTCATAATATAAGAACAGATAATTTATGAAGGACAATTCACGAAAAAAAATAATGACGTACATGATACCGATTAAAGAGTCCCTGGAATTACTAGAATTATTTAAAAGACTAATACATGATTCAAGTTATTTCAGAACTACCCTATTTTTAATTTATCTGAATACATGTTTGGTAATGAGTACCCATTCCTAAAAAGTCAGAGCAGGGCCAACTGGTTTTCTTTCGGCAAGCCTCGCCACCTTCGTACGGCAAAGTTTGACTCCGGACATGGTTCAAATGAAAGGTAATAAATCAGAGCAGAGCCCTCTGTAATGATTTTTTGGGGGTTAGGCCCATTCGGGAATTATAGGGGTTCAAAGTTGTTAAAAAAAAATACGTGTCCACCCTACACTCTTTCGGTAAGTCTCGCCAGCTTCGTACGGCAAAGTTCTTTACCGGACATGGCTCAAATGAAAGGTAATGAATCAGAGCAAAACCCACTGAAATGATTTTTTGGGGGTTAGGACCTTCTGGGAATTGAAGGGGTTCAAAGTTGGTATTATTTTTTTTTTACGTTTCCACCGTACATTCTTTCGGCAAGTCTCGCCAGCTCCGTACGGCAAAGTTCGACACCGGACATAGCTCAAATGAAAGGTAATGAATCAGAGCAGGACCCACTGAAATGATTTTTTGGGGGTTAGGACCTTCTGGGAATTGAAGGGGTTCAAAGTTGGTATTATTTTTTTTTTTACGTTTCCACCGTACATTCTTCCGGCAAGTCTCGCCAGCTCCGTACGGCAAAGTTCGACACCGGACATAGCTCAAATAAAAGGTAATGAATCAGAGCAGGACCCACTGAAATGATTTTTTGGGGGTTAGGACCTTCTGGAAATTGAAGGGGTTCAAAGTTGGTATTATTTTTTTTTTACGTTTCCACCGTACATTCTTTCTGCAAGTCTCGCCAGCTCAGTACGGCAAAGTTCGTCACCGGACATAGCTCAAATGAAAGGTAATGAATCAGAGCAGGACCCACTGAAATGATTTTTTGGGGGTTAGGACCTTCTGGGAATTGAAGGGGTTAAAAGTTGGTATTTTTTTTTTTTTTACGTTTCCACCGTACATTCTTTCGGCAAGTCTCGCCAGCTCCGTACGGCAAAGTTCGACACCGGACATAACTCAAATGAAAGGTAATGAATCAGAGCAGGACCCACTGAAATGATTTTTTGGGGGTTAGGACCTTCTAGGAATTGAAGGGGTTCAAAGTTGGTATTATTTTTTTTTTTACGTTTCCACCGTACATTCTTCCGGCAAGTCTCGCCAGCTCCGTACGGCAAAGTATGACACCGGACGTAGCTCAAATGAAAGGTTATGAATCAGAGCAGGACCCCCTGAAATGATTTTTTGGGGGTTAGGACCTTCTGGAAATTGAAGGGGTTCAAAGTTGGTATTTTTTTTTTTTTACGTTTCCACCGTACATTCTTTCTGCAAGTCTCGCGCCAGCTCAGTACGGCAAAGTTCGACACCGGACATAGCTCAAATGAAAGGTAATGAATCAGAGCAGGACCCACTGAAATGATTTTTTGGGGGTTAGGACCTTCTGGGAATTGAAGGGGTTCAAAGTTGGTATTTTTTTTTTTTTTACGTTTCCACCGTACAATCTTTCGGCAAGTCTCGCCAGCTCCGTACGGCAAAGTTCGTCACCGGACATAACTCAAATGAAAGGTAATGAATCAGAGCAGGACCCACTGAAATGATTTTTTGGGGGTTAGGACCTTCTGGGAATTGAAGGGGTTCAAAGTTGGTATTATTTTTTTTTTACGTTTCCACCGTACATTCTTCCGGCAAGTCTCGCCAGCTCCGTACGGCAAAGTTCGACACCGGACATAGCTCAAATGAAAGGTAATGAATCAGAGCAGGACCCACTGAAATGATTTTTTGGGGGTTAGGACCTTCTGGGAATTGAAGGGGTTCAAATTTGGTATTTTTTTTTTTTTACGTTTCCACCGTACATTCTTTCGGCAAGTCTCGCCAGCTCCGTACGGCAAAGTTCGTCACCGGACATAGCTCAAATGAAAGGTAATGAATCAGAGCAGGACCCACTGAAATGATTTTTTGGGGGTTAGGACCTTCTGGGAATTGAAGGGGTTCAAAGTTGGTATTATTTTTTTTTTTACGTTTCAACCGTACATTCTTCCAGCAAGTCTCGCCAGCTCCGTACGGCAAAGTTCGACACCGGACATAGCTCAAATGAAAGGTAATGAATCAGAGCAGGACCCACTGAAATGATTTTTTGGGGGTTAGGACCTTCTGGAAATTGAAGGGGTTCAAAGTTGGTATTATTTTTTTTTTACGTTTCCACCGTACATTCTTTCTGCAAGTCTCGCCAGCTCAGTACGGCAAAGTTCGACACCGGACATAGCTCAAATGAAAGGTAATGAATCAGAGCAGGACCCACTGAAATGATTTTTTGGGGGTTAGGACTTTCTGGGAATTGAAGGGGTTCAAAGTTGGTATTTTTTTTTTTTTACGTTTCCACCGTACATTCTTTCGGCAAGTCTCGCCAGCTCCGTACGGCAAAGTTCGTCACCGGACATAACTCAAATGAAAGGTAATGAATCAGAGCAGGACCCACTGAAATGATTTTTTGGGGGTTAGGACCTTCTGGGAATCGAAGGGGTTCAAAGTTGGTATTATTTTTTTTTTTACGTTTCCACCGTACATTCTTCCGGCAAGTCTCGCCAGCTCCGTACGGCAAAGTTCGACACCGGACATAGCTCAAATGAAAGGTAATGAATCAGAGCAGGACCCACTGAAATGATTTTTTGGGGGTTAGGACCTTCTGGAAATTGAAGGGGTTCAAAGTTGGTATTATTTTTTTTTTACGTTTCCACCGTACATTCTTTCTGCAAGTCTCGCCAGCTCAGTACGGCAAAGTTCGACACCGGACATAGCTCAAATAAAAGGTAATGAATCAGAGCAGGACCCACTGAAATGATTTTTTGGGGGTTAGGACCTTCTGGGAATTGAAGGGGTTCAAAGTTGGTATTTTTTTTTTTTTACGTTTCCACCGTACATTCTTTCGGCAAGTCTCGCCAGCTCCGTACGGCAAAGTTCGTCACCGGACATAACTCAAATGAAAGGTAATGAACCAGAGCAGGACCCACTGAAATGATTTTTTGGGGGTTAGGACCTTCTTGGAATTGAAGGGGTTCAAATTTGGTAATATTTTTTTTTTACGTTTCCACCGTACATTCTTCCGGCAAGTCTCGCCAGCTCCGTACGGCAAAGTTCGACACCCGACATAGCTCAAATGAAAGGTAATGAATCAGAGCAGGACCCACTGAAATGATTTTTTGGGGGTTAGGACCTTCTGGAAATTGAAGGGGTTCAAAGTTGGTATTATTTTTTTTTTACGTTTCCACCGTACATTCTTTCTGCAAGTCTCGCCAGCTCAGTACGGCAAAGTTCGACACCGGACATAGCTCAAATGAAAGGTAATGAATCAGAGCAGGACCCACTGAAATGATTTTTTGGGGGTTAGGACCTTCTGGAAATTGAAGGGGTTCAAAGTTGGTATTATTTATTTTTTTACGTTTCCACCGTACATTCTTTCTGCAAGTCTCGCCAGCTCAGTACGGCAAAGTTCGACACCGGACATAGCTCAAATAAAAGGTAATGAATCAGAGCAGGACCCACTGAAATGATTTTTTGGGGGTTAGGACCTTCTGGGAATTGAAGGGGTTCAAAGTTGGTATTATTTTTTTTTTTACGTTTCCACCGTACATTCTTCCGGCAAGTCTCGCCAGCTCCGTACGGCAAAGTTCGACACCGGACATAGCTCAAATGAAAGGTAATGAATCAGAGCAGGACCCACTGAAATGATTTTTTGGGGGTTAGGACCTTCTGGGAATTGAAGGGGTTCAAAGTTGGTATTATTTTTTTTTTTACGTTTCCACCGTACATTCTTCCGGCAAGTCTCGCCAGCTCCGTACGGCAAAGTTCGACACCGGACATAGCTCAAATGAAAGGTAATGAATCAGAGCAGGACCCACTGAAATGATTTTTTGGGGGTTAGGACCTTCTGGAAATTGAAGGGGTTCAAAGTTGGTATTATTTTTTTTTTACGTTTCCACCGTACATTCTTTCTGCAAGTCTCGCCAGCTCAGTACGGCAAAGTTCGACACCGGACATAGCTCAAATGAAAGGTAATGAATCAGAGCAGGACCCACTGAAATGATTTTTTTGGGGTTAGGACCTTCTGGGAATTGAAGGGGTTAAAAGTTGGTATTTTTTTTTTTTTTACGTTTCCACCGTACATTCTTTCGGCAAGTCTCGCCAGCTCCGTACGGCAAAGTTCGACACCGGACATAACTCAAATGAAAGGTAATGAATCAGAGCAGGACCCACTGAAATGATTTTTTGGGGGTTAGGACCTTCTAGGAATTGAAGGGGTTCAAAGTTGGTATTATTTTTTTTTTTACGTTTCCACCGTACATTTTTCCGGCAAGTCTCGCCAGCTCCGTACGGCAAAGTATGACACCGGACGTAGCTCAAATGAAAGGTAATGAATCAGAGCAGGACCCCCTGAAATGATTTTTTGGGGGTTAGGACCTTCTGGAAATTGAAGGGGTTCAAAGTTGGTATTTTTTTTTTTTTACGTTTCCACCGTACATTCTTTCTGCAAGTCTCGCGCCAGCTCAGTACGGCAAAGTTCGACACCGGACATAGCTCAAATGAAAGGTAATGAATCAGAGCAGGACCCACTGAAATGATTTTTTGGGGGTTAGGACCTTCTGGGAATTGAAGGGGTTCAAAGTTGGTATTATTTTTTTTTTTACGTTTCCACCGTACATTCTTCCGGCAAGTCTCGCCAGCTCCGTACGGCAAAGTTCGACACCGGACATAGCTCAAATGAAAGGTAATGAATCAGAGCAGGACCCACTGAAATGATTTTTTGGGGGTTAGGACCTTCTGGGAATTGAAGGGGTTCAAAGTTGGTATTATTTTTTTTTTTACGTTTCCACCGTACATTCTTCCGGCAAGTCTCGCCAGCTCCGTACGGCAAAGTTCGACACCGGACATAGCTCAAATGAAAGGTAATGAATCAGAGCAGGACCCACTGAAATGATTTTTTGGGGGTTAGGACCTTCTGGAAATTGAAGGGGTTCAAAGTTGGTATTATTTTTTTTTTACGTTTCCACCGTACATTCTTTCTGCAAGTCTCGCCAGCTCAGTACGGCAAAGTTCGACACCGGACATAGCTCAAATGAAAGGTAATGAATCAGAGCAGGACCCACTGAAATGATTTTTTGGGGGTTAGGACCTTCTGGGAATTGAAGGGGTTAAAAGTTGGTATTTTTTTTTTTTTTACGTTTCCACCGTACATTCTTTCGGCAAGTCTCGCCAGCTCCGTACGGCAAAGTTCGACACCGGACATAACTCAAATGAAAGGTAATGAATCAGAGCAGGACCCACTGAAATGATTTTTTGGGGGTTAGGACCTTCTAGGAATTGAAGGGGTTCAAAGTTGGTATTATTTTTTTTTTTACGTTTCCACCGTACATTTTTCCGGCAAGTCTCGCCAGCTCCGTACGGCAAAGTATGACACCGGACGTAGCTCAAATGAAAGGTAATGAATCAGAGCAGGACCCCCTGAAATGATTTTTTGGGGGTTAGGACCTTCTGGAAATTGAAGGGGTTCAAAGTTGGTATTTTTTTTTTTTTACGTTTCCACCGTACATTCTTTCTGCAAGTCTCGCGCCAGCTCAGTACGGCAAAGTTCGACACCGGACATAGCTCAAATGAAAGGTAATGAATCAGAGCAGGACCCACTGAAATGATTTTTTGGGGGTTAGGACCTTCTGGGAATTGAAGGGGTTCAAAGTTGGTATTTTTTTTTTTTTACGTTTCCACCGTACATTCTTTCGGCAAGTCTCGCCAGCTCCGTACGGCAAAGTTCGTCACCGGACATAACTCAAATGAAAGGTAATGAATCAGAGCAGGACCCACTGAAATGATTTTTTGGGGGTTAGGACCTTCTGGGAATTGAAGGGGTTCAAAGTTGGTATTATTTTTTTTTTACGTTTCCACCGTACATTCTTCCGGCAAGTCTCGCCAGCTCCGTACGGCAAAGTTCGACACCGGACATAGCTCAAATGAAAGGTAATGAATCAGAGCAGGACCCACTGAAATGATTTTTTGGGGGTTAGGATCTTCTGGGAATTGAAGGGGTTCAAATTTGGTATTTTTTTTTTTTTACGTTTCCACCGTACATTCTTTCGGCAAGTCTCGCCAGCTCCGTACGGCAAAGTTCGTCACCGGACATAGCTCAAATGAAAGGTAATGAATCAGAGCAGGACCCACTGAAATGATTTTTCGGGGGTTAGGACCTTCTGGGAATTGAAGGGGTTCAAAGTTGGTATTATTTTTTTTTTTACGTTTCAACCGTACATTCTTCCAGCAAGTCTCGCCAGCTCCGTACGGCAAAGTTCGACACCGGACATAGCTCAAATGAAAGGTAATGAATCAGAGCAGGACCCACTGAAATGATTTTTTGGGGGTTAGGACCTTCTGGAAATTGAAGGGGTTCAAAGTTGGTATTATTTTTTTTTTACGTTTCCACCGTACATTCTTTCTGCAAGTCTCGCCAGCTCAGTACGGCAAAGTTCGACACCGGACATAGCTCAAATGAAAGGTTATGAATCAGAGCAGGACCCACTGAAATGATTTTTTGGGGGTTAGGACTTTCTGGGAATTGAAGGGGTTCAAAGTTGGTATTTTTTTTTTTTTTACGTTTCCACCGTACATTCTTTCGGCAAGTCTCGCCAGCTCCGTACGGCAAAGTTCGTCACCGGACATAACTCAAATGAAAGGTAATGAATCAGAGCAGGACCCACTGAAATGATTTTTTGGGGGTTAGGACCTTCTGGGAATCGAAGGGGTTCAAAGTTGGTATTATTTTTTTTTTTACGTTTCCACCGTACATTCTTCCGGCAAGTCTCGCCAGCTCCGTACGGCAAAGTTCGACACCGGACATAGCTCAAATGAAAGGTAATGAATCAGAGCAGGACCCACTGAAATGATTTTTTGGGGGTTAGGACCTTCTGGAAATTGAAGGGGTTCAAAGTTGGTATTATTTTTTTTTTACGTTTCCACCGTACATTCTTTCTGCAAGTCTCGCCAGCTCAGTACGGCAAAGTTCGACACCGGACATAGCTCAAATAAAAGGTAATGAATCAGAGCAGGACCCACTGAAATGATTTTTTGGGGGTTAGGACCTTCTTGGAATTGAAGGGGTTCAAAGTTGGTAATATTTTTTTTTTACGTTTCCACCGTACATTCTTCCGGCAAGTCTCGCCAGCTCCGTACGGCAAAGTTCGACACCGGACATAGCTCAAATGAAAGGTAATGAATCAGAGCAGGACCCACTGAAATGATTTTTTGGGGGTTAGGACCGTCTGGAAATTGAAGGGGTTCAAAGTTGGTATTATTTTTTTTTTTACGTTTCCACCGTACATTCTTTCGGCAAGTCTCGCCAGCTCAGTACGGCAAAGTTCGACACCGGACATAGCTCAAATGAAAGGTAATGAATCAGAGCAGGACCCACTGAAATGATTTTTTGGGGGTTAGGACCTTCTGGGAATTGAAGGGGTTCAAATTTGGTATTTTTTTTTTTTTACGTTTCCACCGTACATTCTTTCGGCAAGTCTCGCCAGCTCCGTACGGCAAAGTTCGTCACCGGACATAGCTCAAATGAAAGGTAATGAATCAGAGTAGGATCCACTGAAATGATTTTTTGGGGGTTAGGACCTTCTGGGAATTGAAGGGGTTCAAAGTTGGTATTATTTTTTTTTTTACGTTTCCACCGTACATTCTTCCAGCAAGTCTCGCCAGCTCCGTACGGCAAAGTTCGACACCGGACATAGCTCAAATGAAAGGTAATGAATCAGAGCAGGACCCACTGAAATGATTTTTTGGGGGTTAGGACCTTCTGGAAATTGAAGGGGTTCAAAGTTGGTATTATTTTTTTTTTACGTTTCCACCGTACATTCTTTCTGCAAGTCTCGCCAGCTCAGTACGGCAAAGTTCGACACCGGACATAGCTCAAATGAAAGGTAATGAATCAGAGCAGGACCCACTGAAATGATTTTTTGGGGGTTAGGACTTTCTGGGAATTGAAGGGGTTCAAAGTTGGTATTATTTTTTTTTTTACGTTTCCACCGTACATTCTTTCGGCAAGTCTCGCCAGCTCAGTACGGCAAAGTTCGACACCGGACATAGCTCAAATGAAAGGTAATGAATCAGAGCAGGACCCACTGAAATGATTTTTTGGGGGTTAGGACCTTCTGGGAATTGAAGGGGTTCAAATTTGGTATTTTTTTTTTTTTACGTTTCCACCGTACATTCTTTCGGCAAGTCTCGCCAGCTCCGTACGGCAAAGTTTGTCACCGGACATAGCTCAAATGAAAGGTAATGAATCAGAGCAGGACCCACTGAAATGATTTTTTGGGGGTTAGGACCTTCTGGGAATTGAAGGGGTTCAAAGTTGGTATTATTTTTTTTTTTACGTTTCCACCGTACATTCTTCCAGCAAGTCTCGCCAGCTCCGTACGGCAAAGTTCGACACCGGACATAGCTCAAATGAAAGGTAATGAATCAGAGCAGGACCCACTGAAATGATTTTTTGGGGGTTAGGACCTTCTGGAAATTGAAGGGGTTCAAAGTTGGTATTATTTTTTTTTTTACGTTTCCACCGTACATTCTTTCTGCAAGTCTCGCCAGCTCAGTACGGCAAAGTTCGACACCGGACATAGCTCAAATGAAAGGTAATGAATCAGAGCAGGACCCACTGAAATGATTTTTTGGGGGTTAGGACTTTCTGGGAATTGAAGGGGTTCAAAGTTGGTATTTTTTTTTTTTTTTACGTTTCCACCGTACATTCTTTCGGCAAGTCTCGCCAGCTCCGTACGGCAAAGTTCGTCACCGGACATAACTCAAATGAAAGGTAATGAATCAGAGCAGGACCCACTGAAATGATTTTTTGGGGGTTAGGACCTTCTGGGAATTGAAGGGGTTCAAAGTTGGTATTATTTTTTTTTTTACGTTTCCACCGTACATTCTTCCGGCAAGTCTCGCCAGCTCCGTACGGCAAAGTTCGACACCGGACATAGCTCAAATGAAAGGTAATGAATCAGAGCAGGACCCACTGAAATGATTTTTTGGGGGTTAGGACCTTCTGGAAATTGAAGGGGTTCAAAGTTGGTATTATTTTTTTTTTACGTTTCCACCGTACATTCTTTCTGCAAGTCTCGCCAGCTCAGTACGGCAAAGTTCGACACCGGATATAGCTCAAATGAAAGGTAATGAATCAGAGCAGGACCCACTGAAATGATTTTTTGGGGGTTAGGACCTTCTGGGAATTGAAGGGGTTCAAAGTTGACATTCAAAGTGTACGGTTTTTTTTTTTAAACAAAAAAATCTTTACATTTCTTTTAAGTAAGGATGCATGCCGTACAAAATAGTGCACGTATACTTTCAATTCAAAATATTGTTTGTGGGCATGAAATGTACTCTTACAGTTTGTTATTTTGTATGTTTTCATTTTCAGTATAGGGAATAGACATTAAAAGTTCCTTTTCTAGAAAATAAAGGATATTTGAGGATGCCGAGTGTATGGAAAGCCAGTATATAGTTATTCTTTCACACATAATATTTTTCTTATTTCGTTTATTTGAAAGCTGATACATTGTACAAAGGAACAAGTTTAAGTGAACTCACATTAGATAGTTATTCTATGCTCCGCCTACGACAGTAAAGCCCATAATATTATCTGGTTTTTGTGTTCGTTCGTTAATTCATTCGTCCGTTTGTCCGTCCATTCATACTGCATTAGAATGACGTTAGTGTTGAATCTAGTCTAAGATGACGTTGTAGTCAGATCAACTTGAAACTAGGTACACATATTCATTAAAATATGTACTTTTTAAATTATTTACGGTTCACTGAATATTGAAAACGATTGTGCGAGCAAATCATCATAAACAAACACTCTTGTTTTTTTTTTTTTATTATTCAAATTCTAAAAACTCTTTGGCTTTTTATTCTGATTTCTAAACCGCAAAGTACTATTGTATAGCCATTATGTGCTTGAGGGATATACGCTCCGTTTTTAATATTTTGTTTACAATAATTGATTTATCTTTGCGATCTCGGTTTAGAGTTTGGAAAACAGAGAAAACGTAAAGAAGACGTCAAAATATGGATTACTTTATTTCCTAACTAGTCCCTTTCCCGATAGAATAAACTCCGGAGAGGGGCGCACCTTTATTTATATAAATACATATATGATAACATATAGTATGTGTTCGAATGTAGGGGAATAAAAATAGTTCGTTAACAAAGAATGTTCCTTAGCTTTTTGTGTGTTTTTCGCTGTGCATTTACTGATTTTATGTCATGGAGGGATACCCCATATCCTTTGTTTTTCTATTGTATTAAATTGTTTTGACTTTTACGATTTTCTGGCACGTTATATTTTACTCATTGATATTGATGCAGACATTTAGCAACCAAACTAGTTAGTGCATTCAGCTACAGACGTCATTCGTATTGTAGTGTCCCTTCTCCCTTAATTTGATGGACATTTCTGGTCATTTAAACGTTAAAAACAATATGTATACCGTACTGGTAGATAGATTTTCTTTTTAACAGAACGTTGTTTCATAATGTGGTTTTGTGGTTTTCTCATATACCACATAATGATTCTTAGACAAGTTGATTCTCATTGTGTTCTTTATTGGTCGCTAGAATTGGTCGCTAGCTTGATTGGTCGCTAGCTTGAGTCTGGTATGAAATTATTAAAATTATGTTGTTATTTTTATTTTATTTCATGATCTCTAACTGTCCGATTCCAGATTTCTCTAATGACGGTTAACTACTGTCTCTATTATAAATCTGACCTAATAGATATGGCGTTTAGCTTTTCAATACTAGTATCTCATATCACAAACCAAATATACCTAAATTATGTAATTTTATTTACTGCTTATTATTCAAGATACCCGAATGATTACAAAGAAATTAAAATGATTTAAAGAAAAATTCGTGTTTGGTTTTTAATCTAATACAATTTTAAATGGATAAATTGTGTCCTTTGTGTAGTGCAGTGGTGGATTCATGGGTTAAGGGGGATTTTAGCATAAAATTGACCAAAAACAATCTCCAAAAAAATGTTCGCTATGCGGTATTTATACTCTTTTCGGGAAATACCTCCCTTCTTTTAAAGACTGAACGATTGCCTATAATTGCTTACATCAACTTCATTTAAACTTTGGTGGATAGTCGTCTCATTGGCAATTATACTACATCTCCTTATTTTCATATTACATATATTACTAGAAGAAAAATTACCATTGAAAATTATGATTTAACAGGATAATCAAATATTAAATCCCGAACACGAGAATTTTATAGAATAAGCACTTTTTTAAAGAATAATGCTTAAAAGTTATAGAATACAGAAATGACGACTCTCCAACCCTCCAATCCCCAATCCAGACCTTCATAATGAATAATACGGATTTTTAACTTTGATGTGCGTATATATGTGTATATGTGCAAAGTTAACGGCCGGTTCGTTATGCGTACTCGATATTCAATATCCAACCAGCTGCTTGCTGTCGGTTCGATATTCAAATTTATTTAGTCAAAAGAAAAGTTGGAATATGATATTACATAAAAATTATAGTCATAGTTTGAAGGATTTAAAATACATGTTGGTCGTCAAATATGAACCCTTACATGTAAGTGAATCACAATGTCCTCTTTATGATACTTATATAGATTTTTATCAAAAAATAAAATGCAATCAAAGAAGTACTTTATCAACTTAAATAACTATGGAAAGCCACAAATTATTTTTTTTCGATTGATTAAAATATAAACAGTAGCGATTCTACCTGACTATATAGGTGTCAGACCACCAATTCAAAATCCTTATCTATTCAATCAAATTTAGCAATTTTCACAGCTTCTAAATATTTTACCTCAAGTTTAACTTCATAGAAACCAAGTATATCCTGAATTGTACATGTATCACCTTTCAACATGCCGATTTTCAAACAATGGTTAAAGTCTTGTTATGAAATACTACCGTTCGGAAGTCAAGTACTACTAAAACAAAACCCTGATTTTCTGGAATACTATGTAGCGCATTAATCTCCAATTTTTAATGCAAACTCATGAACAAGTACATTTTTGTTCAAAATGGTCTACATATATTTCTCTTTCACCAAAAGTTTCATTTTTGCAATTTATTTGTTAGTTTAAGTAAGCAATGACATCAAAAGCATTATTTTTTTTATCAGCGAGGGGCTACTTTTACCGGAAGTTGTGATAATCTTAAAAAACCGGCACGGATAAAAAACATAAACAAGGTCAAAATGTTCAGACTTTAATTTAATCTTTGTACATGTAAGAGAATGATAATCCCTTTCTTCATAATTAATATGATTTACCCTCACTGAGAATATGATTAACATTTTTAACCCCCCACGCAAAAAAAGTTTTGAGGGGTAATATAGGAATCACAATGTCCTTTATGTTCGTCTGTCGTATGATATGTGTTATGCTGAGAAGGCATGGAATAGATGCAACAACAAGCACCAAAAACAGCTTAAAGCAATATATGTACAAAAGAGGAAACATTTTGATAGTGAGGTTCAAAAAAGTAAGAGAAAATATTGGTATGATATGCAGGAGCAATTACGCTTTAAATCTAGTAAAAATCAGCATATGTATTGGAAAAAGATTGGTAAATTAGGTATTGCAGAAAGCCGTAAATGTGTAATTCCTATGGTAATTAAGATGATGGTAATATAAGTTCCTATAATCAACAGATGTTCTTGATAAATGAAAATTTGAATATTCAGAATTGCTTAACCAGCAGGACAGTTCGATTAGGGTTTCTAATTCTTGTACCAATATTAATGAAGCGAATACTTTTAATGATTTTTTGTTGATAGAGAATTATTATAAACCCTGTTCCTAAATCTTACATGTCAGACGCGAGAGACCCCCTTTGTAATAGAGGCATTGCCCTTGCAGCAGTGTCTTACAAATTGTACTGTAATATACTGAACGATAGATTATCTCAGTGGTTAGATGATAATAATGTACTGGGCTGACAAACAGAATGGTTTCCGTCAACAACGTAGTACAATTGACCAATTATCGACTCTTACTAATGTGATCGATGTTAGAAAAAACTTCGTAAATCAACATTTTGCGCCTTTATTGTTTTTAAAAAGGCTTGCAACACTATAAAAAGAGATATCTTATGGTATAAACTAAATGAAAATGGTGTTGCACAGACTTTTTGTTCTGCTATTTGGTCAGTTTTTACAAGACTGTCTTATGTTCTGTAAGAATAAACGGTCATTTCCCTAGTTAGATGTAAACTGTGGCTTGAAACAAGGATGCCCCTTATCGCCTTTTTTGTTCAACTTGTATATTAATGATTTAGCTACATTTCTTAAGTCCTTTGACTTCGGAATAGAAATAGGTGATGAAAGACTGTGTATTTTGTTATATGCTGATGACGTTGTAATTATTGCAAACTATAAATAACAACAACGTCATCGGCATGCCTAAGGCTTACGGTACAAAAGTTATGTACCGGATACGAAGCGGGACGGACGGACAGACAGACGGACAGATTTCAATTCAATTCAGTGTTTTATTAAGGTCTCATCGCTCAACAAGAAAAAACGACATGCATAAATTGTAAAACAATACTACATAAAATGAGAGCCATTCTATACAGAATTATACGATACTATTAAAATGCAAAGATAAACTACATTAAACAACGTCTTCTTAAAATTAAAGAACATGTTTTGGCAAACACACACGTATCATATTTACATCTGAGAATAAAAACACAAACTTTTGGTTGTCATCTAGAGTATTAAAATTGTCATTAAAAGTTTCAGCAACATAATATAAATAAAAGTTTGAATTGAATTGAAATCTGTCCGTCTGTCTGTCTGTCTGTCCGTCTGTCTGTCTATCCGTCCGTCCCGCTTCGTATCCGGTGCATAACTTTTGTACCGTAAGACTTAGGTGAACCAAACTTGGTATACAGTTGCATTATGGGATGGGGGTGTGTCACATACTAAAGTAAGGTTACTCTGGCCTTGACTTTGATCTTTGACCCCTATGATAGTAAAATCTCATCCACTGAGTGTCTGGCTCATATGTTTTGTACCGTAAGACTTAGTTTAACCAAGCTTGGTAGACAGTTGCACCATGGGCTAGGGGTGTGTCAAATACCAAAATCAGGTCACACTCACCTTCGACCCCTATGATAGATAAACCTTGTCTGATTTGTGTCCTGGGTATAACTCTTGTACCATAGAACTTAGATTGACTAAACTGTGTATGCTGATACATCATGGGATGGGGTGTTTCAATTATCAAAGCCTGCAGGCCACTCTGACCTTGAATTTAACCTTTGACCCCTATGATAGTAAAACATTTTCTGATTTGTGTTTGGTGCATAACTTTTGTACTGTAACACTTAGATTGACAAAACTTTTTGTGCCGAAGCATCATGCTGACCTAGACCTTGACCCTTAATTTCTGAATTTACAGTATACAAAACTCAGACTTTGTTCCTGGGTCAGTATCATTTTTTCAGACTGATCTACCAGTAACCAAGTGCCAATCTACTCTTATACCATAGATTTAGGTTTACCTAACTTGTATGCTGATACATCATGTGATGGGGGGTTTCATATATCGAAGTCAGGTCACTCCGACATTGAATTTGAACCTTGACCCCTATGATGGTAAAAAGTTGTCTGATTTGTATTTGGTGCATAATTTTTGTACTGTAGCGCTTAGATTGACAAAACTTTGTATGCAGAAGCATCATACTGAATTTGACCTTGACCTTTAATTTCTGAATTTATAGTATACGAACCTCAGACTTTGTTCCTGGGTCAGTGAAATTCTTTTAGAATGAACTATCAGTAACACAGAGACAATGATTATATAAAATGAACTACTGAAAACCAAAAATCTCAATATTGATGCCTCAGTACTGAATTGCATAGCAGCAAATAAAATGCAAGTACGGGGATATAAGTCCCACTATGCGGACAGATCTTGTTATTCACATTTACGAAACATCAAATTCTACAATTTCATTGGTAAAGAGCACTTTGCTATATTCTAAATTTAGGTAAGTTGATGCAAGCATATGATCTGTATTGTTTCTAAAACATTAAGAGGGAAATAATGATTACAAGAATATAACGTGTAAACACGTTAATTATGAGCTATGAACATCAAGTAGTTCGTGCAATTTTCTGATATCCAACTAAATAAGACATCACTTGACTTTCATGATATGGCAATCCGCATTCTTTTGTCAAGTTGTCTCATAGAAATTGCATAGGCCCTTCAATAAATTAAATTTTGTTCGCTAATTCGACCCATTTTCTACCTTTTGCATCTCTTACCTTTGACCTCGAGCATAATTCTATCTAAAAAAAAAACTTTGGTCCTGGCAGCTTAAATTTAGATTAAATTACGTCCCTGGTCAATTGTTAATATCGGTCTTTTTCTCGTTTCGGCCCGTTGACTCTCTTGTAAAATTGGCAACCCAGCGTCTACTTGTACATCAATTTTACAAATTTCTTAAATAAAAGTAATAGTTTGCATCTATATTGTGATGCATGAAACATAGATTTAGCAATGTATGATAATTTTAACAGTTTAAAATGATTGCAAATTGACGTCCCTAATCGATTGAAAAAAAAATAAAAAATTGTCGATGCCGGAATTTTTTAAAATGGCGACTGAGCTATTTATCGTGTTTATACTGCAGATAAAATCTGATGGTTTCATTATTTAAATGCCGATTAAATTTCTTTTCTTCGGTGTTTGCAGATGGCTCAAAGTGCCAGTTTGATATTCAAAATATACATGATATACAGCAAAAGACTACCGGTGACCCCTGGTCTTTCAATGTTAATAAAATCTGGCTATCCCTTAGAATACATATTCATAAATATCTTATCGGTTTGATTATTTTTGATAGATGGCAAATTTATCTATCCTTCCCACTTTCAATGTGTATTTTAGCATGTGATAATGTGCGCTACCGGATTACTGTATATAACCTTTAGTTGGTCATTTTTTTTATTCCGTGAAATATTAGTTTTCATTTTAATTGCAAAGTATAAATCAATATACTTTGGCATAATATATTGACAAAAAAACACACATAATGTATTTCGATATCAATAGGTTGCTCAGGTAAGTGAAAGAAAAAGTCACTTTTGTTCAGAATATTAGTTAGTTGTGATCTTTTTTGTATAAATTTTTTATTTGAATCAATTAATAATGCTTACCAAAGAATGTTAATTTATTTGAATAAATATCAAAAAAACTTGTTTATGTTCTTACGTTCATTGGTATTTTTACATATTGTTTTACAATTCGACCGCTATGAAAATGGTAAATATGGTTGACCATGTTTATCATTTATTTCACCAACAGCAACTAATTGTATATGTTTTTGTTGTAGCGTTTTTATTAAGAAAATACCTATATGTCGAAACTCTTGATTTTTCTTCTACTTGCAGGACTTGTGAGTAAGTATATTAGAATAAAGCTACACTCATCACTTATTATTTAAAGAGTTTGCTGTCTTTTCTGTTAAGAGTATTGGTAGATTTCCGGCTTATGAACGTTTAAAGACATCTCCTTTTATTCATTATATTATACCATAAAACATTCTTGAACATAATTAAAGACAAAGTTTCAAGAATGATTTTGTATTCAAATTTATTTTTGCAGAAATTGTGTATTAATTAACTGTATTCTGCGCTGATATATAATTGATAGTTCATTGATGGCTTGTGGTCATTTTTATACTTCTTTTGGTGTTTCATACACGATTGTTACATACGAAGTTTTTTCATCAACGTTACAAATGAAAGATAGTCATAAATGCACATCAGACGCAACAAATGTCGATATGTTTTACGGTATAATACCTTATGAACCATCTTCACTCTTACAAATTTATATTAATTTTGACTGCTGCGCTGTTCATATTATGGACAGAATGACTTCAACAAATTTTTAACTGTTCAGTTGAAAGTTGTGGTCAATTTCAAATATCATATTTATTTACTCTTGTACTAAAACGATATATATATATATATGTATACACATGTATGTATATATATAAAAGTACTAACTGCCAATGTAATAAAAATTGTATTTTGTATTAAATTGACCAGACAGTGTGTAAATAATATTCAGTAATTCTGATTTTTTTTTAAGTAATTCCAACTGCCTTGGGACGTTGTAAACATTGGATATGTGACAAGTTTTGTCCTAAAAAATTAAATTGTTGTGAATGGAGGTGTATTCTCGCTAGAAAACGCTCACCCGAAACTGTAAATGAAAAGGGTATGTATTAGTCACTTATGATACAATGTCTGTATAGTCATCCAGCTGTAACTCACTTTTTTTATGGTTCGTATTATCATAATGTACACTTTTCAGGTTAGATCAATAAGGCTGCATTGTTCTATCATAGTAGAACAACGCTGAAACATTTAAATTTCAGTTGTATACTATATTCTTAATGAGATTCATCAAAAAGTGTTATCAATTTCATAACACGAAAGCTTACTATAACATAAAGATGATTAAGGAAATGGCAGAACAATTTAAATTTTATGCAACAAGCTTATTGAAAATGACAAAATTGGTATAATACATTTAAAGAAATCAAAATTAATTTTTAAAAAGTCGCGTGTGCGAGGAATGAGACAACCCTATAAAGAGTAAAAGTAAGCATTCTCTTAAGTATGAAAGACGAGACAAGCAGAAACCATGCTTCGTCTACAATACTAACCTTAATATAACACAAGCAAAAAGGAACTCCTAAATTTCCTATGGTGATTACATGGATTATCAAAATGACACTTAAAAAAGAAAGACGATTGAAATAAGCATGTTTTGACTATGCATAGCACTAAGCAAAAGGACAATTACAGTAGAATATAAATATCGATCAAAATTAAAAACTCTTTGATATTTTTTTTTCAGTGGAACACAAAGGCAGCTAGTTCATAAAACCAGCTTTACAGAAAACAAACCGAACCTTTGGGATATTAAACACTTGTAGAAAACTATTTTGTTTGTTTGTGTTTCTATTTATTAATCTAATGTAAAATATACACATCTCTCTTAGTACATTGACAAACAAATATTTGTTTCTGTCAAAATGTTCACGTGGTTGGCCAGTTTAATGAATATTTTGTTCCATTTAATGTTTTTGTTCTGAAGAAGTATTATTTTAACCCATTGGGATATTATTTCGCTTCTCCAAAAATTGTCTTGTTCGCATAAAATAATTAGTGGCTGCCCTCAATTTTTTTTTTTTTTTTTTTTTTTTTTTTTATGCTCCTCAAACACAAATTCTAAAGACAAAAAGCCGCTTTTTCCGAATCAAACAAATGGTTTCCGGAAGGTATTACGATGTTCCATTGCTTACCGAAACAAATTATAAATACGGGAGATTTTCGAAAAAGCATGATTTTCTGGTCATATGCCATGATAGTTTAAGGTCTCAGTTACAAAAAAAAAGAATAAAATTGGAAAAATACTTACGGTATGTAATCTTGAATTTTCATTGTTCAATAAGAAAAAAAATGTGTAGCTTAAAATAGAGGAGGGGAAGAGGCCTATTGAATTTAGGTCAGTTGGTCAAAAGTCCAGGTCACTGTTACAAACCAAAAAATTGATTTTTTTAAATGCTTTCCGGATAGTGTCTTGAGTTACCTTTGTTCGTTTAGAATCAAAATAACAAAGATAGAAAATGTACAAAAAGAAAAGAACACTGTCGCCTTTCAGGTAACTAGGTTGGTCAGAGGTCACTGTCATAGCAGCTTAAAAAACGTCTGTACATAGTATGAAATTCGTCGAGATCTTCTTGATGAATTCTGTTAAATGTAGCTTCTAATTGTTCTTGAGTATTTCTATTGGGCATGTGGTTCTAGACAATGTGGGCTAATCAGGGCAGTAACAACCCTTTGCTCGAAAAGCAAGGATAAAAAGGGGTTTTCTGTACACCAAGGGTTTAGAAAAGGCATTTATATCAAATGACATCTATATAAAGATTCCATTGTCATCAGAATTCAGAATAAGAATGTCTGATTGCAATACCTTCTGTTCCCATTGTTCTCATATTTTTATTTTTTTGCAATTACATAATATACAAATAACGCTTTGAGAATCATGTCAGTGCCGAAGAACTGACTACTAAACTGATGGTCCCTTCAAGGACTAGCAGTCAACCAGCAATGGTATATCGTCTCGGTACTGGAAAATGAAAATAACGTTTTTTGAATTTATATCATCAGGAACGGTCCATCTAAAAAAAACTGAAAGCCAATGATTTGTTAAAACTTGAATAGCATAATATTGTCATAAGGCCCTAGACCTTGCAGATTAGTCTGTGTCATGGAGAAGGCGTGCCCAATTCTTATTAAGGGGATGCCTTCAAAGGTTTTTTCTGTAAAATATTGACAGCAAGTTTTGCTTCTAGATAACTGGCTTTTAATACCACATTCAAAAACAAATCGGGAGCATATAGTCCTTACTGAGTCTTTTTAAGGCCACTTCTTTTGGTCAATGGGTGCCTTGAATAGACCTTCAAGATATTTAAATCTTCATGAAATTTAGCACAGTTTAAGTTCAGATATAATAACGTTAGCGGCCCAAGGGATAACAAGGATTTTTTTGTGCTCTTAGGAAAATCAAGAAATTATTGATAGTATTGATTAACCCCAGATGTAAAAAGTACGGGTATTGAGTACGAACACCTACTGTAAGACGATAGTTTAATTGTTATTCGTGTTGAAGTGTTTTACAGGGTAAAATCTACCCATGTACAGTGCAAAATGAAAACATTGACGTGGGCGCATTATTCGTCCAGACCAAACACAAACCAGAATCCTTTACTTCTGCTTTGAAATTCAGTTTTTCTTCAACTTTTTTATTTGATGATACTGACAATAAAATATACCCTCGAGATGTTATCAGCCAAGTAAAACCAGTATTTATACAAGAAAAATATTAATGTCACACCAACAAGAAACCAGTACCTCACACATGTTGTGTTGTATAAAATCATGTATCAAAACATACAGGCAGGTCATCTCAAGGGGCTACAAAGAGTGAGGGCATGTGAAGAATATATCAAGATGTTGAGGAGGACATGGATAGACTCAAGGTCTGATAATACGCAAACATATGATGAAGGTTTATACACAGAACCCACAAACAGCATGAAATGGAAACTCAGGGTTCATTAGAATAAGGCTTAAGGAGGAGCCATGTTCCGCAGAAGATGGACAAATTGGTCGAGTAATTGAACATGAAAGCTGTATAGTCCATAGAATTTTACGTGGACGCTTGCGGGTTGATGGATTTTTATAAAACTCAAGTTCTGTAAATAATTAGATAATAAGTAATTTCTGTCAGAATAATCAATCGTATATATTTCATGACTGCAGTCTATATATAAGTTTTCACATTTCTTAGAATCTAGTAATTTGAGAATAACAAGCCCAAGCGTCAAGTGTCGGATAGGTATTATTTATTTTACCTTTCTTATATTTTGAGCTGTTGCAGCGTACTTATTGCTAATACTTTTGCAATTATACTCCATTGTAATCATTTTAATTTAATATTTATGCTACGTTCCTTTCAGGGTCAGATTCTCTCCGTTAACAGTGATGAATCATATTTTCTTTATTTGACGCAATCATAGAATGTTGACAAACTAGCAAGATTTTCCTATTCTATAAAATGGTATTTTAGTTAATCTTAATGCAATGTAAGTTCATGAAACAAATAAGAGAATCATGCAATAGCTTTATTTAAAACAAATCCCTCTTTGGAAGTGGCTTCCTCGGTTCAATACGACAACTTGTCCGGTTGGAAAGGGACAGTTATATTGACAGAGTATAAATAGATATCATTGAGATGGGAGCCATCTCTGTTGGCCCCGCTGTGAATAATGTGTGGTAATAAATTTGTATCTTTATCATTGGACATGGGGTTGTCAACTGAAACCAAAGTTTTTGACCTTGACCTTTGACCTAAGAAGTTGTACATGAATTATGACACACCCCTGGTGTTGGTTTATATACATGTCAAGTATAAACTTTGAAATCATAACGGTTCTCAAGATATAGAGCGGACACGATCTTTACCATAGAACATGGGGTTGTCAACTAAAACCAAAGTTTTTGACCTTGACCTTTGACCTAGGAAGTTGTACATACATTATGACACACCCTCTGGTGTTGGTTAATATACCTGTCAAGTATAAACTTTGAAATCATAACGGTTCTCTAGATATAGAGCGGACACAGTTTGTTACGGACGGACGGCCGGACGCACGGACGGACGGCCGGACGCACGGACGGCCGGACGCACAGACGGACGGACAGACGGACGGACGGACAGAGGACGGACGGACAGACTGATCACTGTAGGGCGTCCGCCATTCGGCGGGGCCCTAATAACACAATTACCGAACTCCATTGAAACTTCAAAACGGAAAGTCCCTTATCAAATGGCAAAATTAAAAGCTCGAAAAAGTAAAAATGTCAAAAATTGGTGTACAGCAGTCAACATTGTGTTATGATCTTAATCACTATAAAAAGAAGCAACTATGTCTACAAAGAAAAACACAATGGCATACAGACACTCAATAGACTAAGCAAATAAGCAATAATGGAAAACAAAAATACAAAAAATGACTATAGCACAATGACACAATGGCGGGATGTATAATTACCGAGCTGATAAAAGGACGAAACGTTCTTTGACATAACCCTTGTTCATCAACTTTCTGCTCTGATACTGGTGACGTTGTATAAAGTCTGAGTAGCAGCTGCAAGCTCTTGAATACCGAATGAGTTGGGAAATGTATATCCCATATGCAGGTGAAGTTTGTATATTGCCACTAAGGTGGAGGATATATATAATTTCAAAATTTAAATCGTCTCGTTTGTCATAGATTCTGGTATTGAGATGACCGCTTATGTCAAATTCGATGTATAAGTCTAAAAAATGAGGCAAAATAAGCCGTGTCTGCTGTTTCTTTAATTTCTTATTCTGAAGCATATATTAATAGAACCCAATCAGAAAAGTTAATGGGAAGAACATCATCATATTTATTTATAAAATTCATCAATATATCTTAATATGAAATTAAATGACCTTGCTTCTTTGATCTTCTTGTTTTTGACAAGTGTCTGAAGGCACTCCGACTCGTATGAAAATAAGAAGAGGTCGGCAAGGAGAGGTTCACAGCTCGTTCACATAGGAATACCGACAATTTGTTAAAAAGTTTGCCTCCAAATTCAACAAATATGTTGACAATAAGAAACTCCAGCATACTGATCACTTGTTCCTCGGTATAGCATGTTTTACCTTTTTGTTCACTATTAACAAAATATGCCGTATGGTATATTTTAATCAAATGTATTTCAACATTTAATGACAAAATAAGTTCCATAAAATCAATTTATTTTATACCAAAAAACTCCTAACGATAGTTAATCTGTCCGTTCGTTTGTCCGTCTGTTCTGTATCAGGTTAAAGTCTAGTTTTAAGGAATTTTTGTAAAGTATCATGCCAATTATTATTATTATTTATTATTATTATGGTTAAATCAACTTGAAACAGGATGCATAAGTGCATTATGAGGTGAACTTTTTACGACTCTTATGACAACGTTGGGGTTTTGAACCGAGATTTCGAGGTTCACTGAACATGGAAAAGCAAACGTTCGAGCAGGGTATGGTATCCTTTTGACACAAATCGTTGTTAGTTAAATGGGATCATAACCACTTCTAGATGACATGGTAAATCTATGATCAGATCATTTTTTCAAATTTAGTGTTAACAAAATGATGAATTATTCAAAAAATTAAGAATTTTCTACCCCCAGGCATAGATTGGCTCCGTAAGATTTGTTAACAAAAATGGAGTGTTTTGGTTTTTAGTTCTTTGTTACTTTTGAATTAAGTTTTAATCAACTCTTGTTTTATAGTTGCGATTGTGATTTACCTTTTATGTTGTTGCTAAGCACATGCGCAAATGGTGCATGCATACG